CCTAAGAAAGCAGTTGAAATTAAGTTTCCTTATAAAAAGGATAGGATTGTCATGTGTAGATTGTTGACTAAGACATATTAGTTTGTGTCGAATGAACATTCACGTACCTGTATTCAGACGGACATTTGACATCAGATAATATTTAAGTTTTCTTACTACTAGTTTAATAAGTGCCTTCATTAGCTTGTTGCACAAAGCCGCAAAAATAAATGCTGCTAAGGTTCGTGAAAAATACCATAAGAGCACCGAGGAAGGGACAAACAGAACCTTCCAAGACTTCTGCTTTACATTCTGACACTTAAGCTTGTAATTTAAGGATTCGCATAATAATTTATAATGCCAGCCATTTCCTCGTTACCTTCCCTAAAAAAATTGCAATCGAAAGAACAGTTTTGATAAATCACTGGGGTTTATTTTTATCGCAATGTGTTAAAACTATAAATTCCTGCATTCGTAGTCTATGGAACTCAAATTTTGAAGACCGCTCAGTATATATGGGTCAAATTAGTCGCCTATACTTAGTGGCTTTCTTTTGACTGAACTTAGGTTATGCATTATTATTTCTCTGTATACAGAGGGATCAGATCTTCTATTGTCTAAAAAGTCGTATGATATATATCTGGGTTTTTGGAATGCATTCCAAATGTTTGAACGTTTTGATAATTATCTTTTAACTTAAACTTACCAAACCCCTACTATTTATCATTAATGAAGCTCTGGACAATTATTTTTCTCCTCCTACTCCGAGAGGGGCAACAGTATATGAACAGTTCGAAGAAACATGGACATCCTAAGTACCAGTTCCCTGTGACAATCAAAAATAAGGGATCAGCCAGACAGACCTCTCTGTGCGATTGTGCTTTCGTCATTAGCGAAAACTAGTATCATAGTAAATGCTCTTTTTAAAGTGCATTTAAAAAAATTTGCTGTAGTCAAAAAACGATTTCTAGACGTTAAGAAAACATATATTTATTTTAAGTATTACAGACGAAGACAGAGGAACGCCAGGATATATATTTCTGACTTATTATCCGTCGTCAGCTACCGATACCCAAGTCCAGTGTAGTCACTGAAATTGCTGCTGCCTTCGATTTTCGAACCCACGACCTCGCTGGTCAAAGTCAAACGCCCTAACCATTGAGCTACCGGCTTGCTGTCTTGTCGGTTCTTCATTGGGAATATACAGTATTAGATAATCCTACATCGATCCGTGTCAGGACGGGTGCGTCCGGCATGCGGGCTCTGACTTGCTGAACTTTCATCACGCGTGATGGACTCGGGCGTGATGACTGCTCAGTCATCTGGATCTCCGCTATTGGCGTAAGACGATGTGGTGGCCTGTGCGTTCCACAAGTGACAACTTCCTTTAGCCGAATTGAGCCTCATCAACGAATATGCGCTGGAAAACTCGTTACAGTTGTTTATGGACTGGATACGCGTGAATCATGACTCAAGTAATTCGCTACTAACATAATTGTTACCTCTTGCGAGAATTTTGGCTCCATCAAATTTGAATGGGTCACAACTTGAGAATTAGTGTCATTTCTCCGCACTGCTGCTACGTGTTCGGCAATTCGCATCTTGAGAAGTCTGCCAGTTTTTCCGACATAGTTGCTTTGTCCGCAACTGCACCAAATCCTGTAGACGACTCAAAATGTCTCTTGCCGCGGAAGTGGGTCTTTTGATTTCATTATCTGACCCCTTATGGTTTCCTCCGGTCGGTGTTCGACTCCAAATCGAAGGGGTGCGAGAAGGCGGCCGACGGCCTCCAACACGTTTTTGACGTACGATATCGCTCGAAATATTTTGGGGTCCGTGCTATTTTGTTACCCATCTCGTTTGCGCAAGCCCCGTTGACGAAGTTGCGCGGGTAGCCATTCTCTTTGAGCACCCGTCGGTGGTATTGTGTTTCGGCAACTTTGTCTTCTGGTTCGCTGCAGTGCGTCCTAACACGCCGATAGAGCGTCCTTACGCTGATCAGGTCGG